AAACCATTGTAGAGCGACCATCCAAGTTTAAGGGCTTGGTCGGCTTGGCTTATCGAGCTTGGAAGTAAGCCATTGTAATCAAGCTGCCATGGAGCCCATTGTTAGGAGTCTGGCGCCATTGTGCATACTGCATACTTTACATATTCCCTAAACACTGAACCCCATAATTACCCCCTGGAATGACAGGTTCTAAGCTGTTACAAAGTTTGCCGCATGCACCTCGCAGGATAGTCCTCAGAATGAAGGAATAGAGGGCTTTAGACCTACAGGACAAGCTCTTGTATGAGGACAACTGAAGACCTCCATCGCAAGGTAAGAAGCTCATGAATATCGGGGTATGAGACAAGAGCATTTCATGGAAGTCTCCGTGTCCCCGAACCCGCCTGAAGCAGAGGCGGCCTTGGGCATCCACAGCACGCGGCATAGGGCCACGTAGGGCCTCGTCTTCGTCTCTTCGTGTCTAAAGGTCTTTCGTGTTCTGCGAGCCGAAGCGACTGCCGGATGCTGCCAAGGTGCTGTCAGTGCCACGGGTCGATGTGGGCCCCTATATACAGAGTCTACAGATTCCTGCTCTTCAAGTTTGAGCTGACCAAGACAATGCCATCATCCAAGTCAGCTGCATCCTACACCAGTCTCTTGAAGCTCTTGCTGAAAGTATCCGAGTCCGAGTCATTATCAAGACCTGTACGACTGCATGAATGAAACCCAAGGCCTTTAATTGTTCCTAGTTGGGGGTCTCCCTCATTCTCCACCGAATTTTACGAGCAACTGCATCTCTTGAATGCCGTGCTGAGTGAGAGTCCTGGTCGTCGGACGGTTCGCCTTATTGCTCGTAAAGGTACTTGGTGAATACCTTCAAGAAGATAAGTTCTCCACCCTTCAGATCTTGGAGCGGCTTGAACCCATTCTTCCGCAAATCCTGGTGTCTGTGCAGTTTGTGCTTGCGCTTGCACCGCACTGCCTGCACTGCTTGCACGTGCATAGACTCTTCTCCTGAGCCAAGTCGGCAATCTTCCTTAGCAGAACGGATGCCTAGTGCTCTTCCTTACTGTGGCCGCCCGCTGAGGCCAGCCTCCTTCGGATCACTATCTTGCCCTCGATGACAAGCTTTACAAAGCGTGCCTTGGCGCTCAATACCTTGCCATCGGGCAGGAGTTGCGCGACATTTGCTCTGGTCCACCAAGTTTGGTTCGCAGAAAGCAGATGCTTCAGATGGCTGAAGCATGTATTGATTAGGTCATTAGGTCAGATTTTCAGTACCAATGCACGGGCGGCTGCATCAAGGCTCGAGTTAGCACAGCAAGGGAAGTGCAGTCCGCCTCACATTCGCGGGTGAGCCGTGCCAGCAGATACGCCTTGCGCCTCCCGAAAGCATTGGTTATGTCATCTGGGCTTGGAAGTCCCTTGAGCCCAGAACTTCTCGTAGATCTTCATCCGAACTTGTGCGAAATCTTGCAGGATGTCTTTTGGACTCTCCTGGGCAGATGCATTTCGAGGCGCACAAACATACATGCACAAACAGACTGGGACGCCCGCGTATTTCTTGATCTTGCCATCCGCATCAAAAAGCATCTGGATCACACATGGGCAGACAAGCAATGCCACGTTGCCACTCATGGAAAACTAAAATCGCATTTGACGCGCACCATGTTGTTCATGCTGATTGTGGAGCGGAGCTTGAAGGCCTTTCACAATTGATCTATCTGCACTGCGAAAGCAATTCTGCAAGATTGCGCAAGCTTTGCAGCACGAGCCTTCTCGAGGTTGTCCTGTGATTCGTTGAATGTATTGCGAAGTGAACGGAAGTGAAGATGAAACAGCAATGCCGCCTTGTCGGCTTGTTGTTGGCCTTCTGAGCTCAAGGATAGCCTTGGTCGAGAATCTTGAGGCAGCTCGGGCAACATCCGGCAACTGCAAACTGCAGGAAGAGCTTCGGGCTCGAAGTGCACCGTCTTCTCGCTGTGGTACCTAAAAGCCAGTTTGACTTGCGCAAGTCCCTGAGCTTCCTGAGACATCTGATTGGCTGATTGGCCCCAAGCTCTTGGTAGTCTTCCAACAACTTTGGCCCTTCTCGCTTCTTCCTTGTTGCGTACACACGATGTTCTCAATTATCAAGCGGCGCCCTTGAACTTCTTAGGGGAGCGGCTCCCCTTTGGGAAGATTCTCTTCCAGGATCTCACGATAATCCTCCAACCGCTGGAAAGCTGCTGGAAGCACTTCCAAGCACTTCTTTCAACAAAAAGCTTGCTGTTGCCGGCTGCCGCCTGTGTCCAGCGCTTCACTGGCAACTCGGTGATCTCAGCCTTGCCTGATGTGCCACACAGAAGAACCCTCTGAAGTCCTTTTGGAATAATGCTCGTGCTTGGCCTTCCCCAAGAGATCGAATGCTCCCCGTGACCTGAGTAGACTGCAAGCCGCGAGGACGCGGTTTGGAGCCAGCAAGATGCCTCCCACTTCCCTTCTTCCCGGGACTTCGAGATGCTGCCGGTAAAGCCTGACGAATCTTCGAGATTGCGAAGGCCGAGCTGAGCAGAGATGCTGACAACTGCTCACAGCACTACATATGCCACCATATGCCACCATGCACCTGCAAACCATGGCGTCATCTCCTTCATCTCCTGCTTTTTGAGCCACCTCCTTAGTCTAAGTGGGAGCAGTGAAGTTGACTTTCAAGCATCCTAGCAAATGGCCTGAGGTTGTCGATGATCTCCTGCAAGCAGAAATTTAACGAATGAAATGGAGCCATGAGAAGTCGAAGAAACGCTAGAAAAGTCACAAGTCAGTGACAAATCTGAGCGTGGTGGCCCGGGGAGAGAAGTTTGGCACCGAAGAGCTCCAGCCCGTGCCTTGGGCGCTTGGCTTCACCCTTCTTTTTAAGACACTTTCTCGTAACCTTCTCTTCTCTCTTCTTCTCTTCTAGCATTCTGCTTTCAAGCTCTCGTCTCAGCTTCAGAAACCCCCCCCAGTTGCAACAGCCAAGCTTCCAGAACACATCGCTTTGACACCGAACTCAGGCTTCCGCACCTTCGGACACTAACGCCGCCCAGCGTCCGATGCCTTCAACTCCATTCACCAGCACCATGGGAATGATCGGACAGTACCAGCCTGAGTGTACTGACCCAAAAAAGAATTGCGGAAAGCGGAGAGAGAGAGAGAGAGAGAGAGAAAGAAAGAAAGAAAGACAGAAAGAAAGAGAGAGATAGAGAAAGGACAGAAGGAATCTGCGAGAGACTGCTTTCAGATGCTTTAAATAATGCTTTGGCCAATTTGCTTTGTAATGATCCTTCTTAACTTTTTCTTCTTCGCGCCTTGCTTCTTGAATTTCTTGTGGGCTCCGCTATGGCCGCTGCGGGGCTCGATGGAGAGGCCGTCCTCGTTCAAATACTCCAAGACATTGTCGTCCTGAAAACCACCACGCTCACTCTCTCTCTCTCTCTCTCTCTCTCTCTCTCTTTCACACCACTCTCTCTTTCCCTCCCTCTCCATCTCTCTCTCTCTCTCTCTCGCTCTCTCTCTCCGTGCATCTGCTTTCTGCGCTGGGTGCCGGTGCGCCAGGCGGGAAGAGGATGCGCGTGATGGGCGCCAGGCCTTTGAGGATTCACACGCTTAGATCACGGCTAGATCATGGATACATCATACTTTCGAGCATCACGGCTTCCACTTTGGGCCATGGGCGAGTGTAGATATATCGTGCAGAAGCCGAGTCCTCTGTATGGAAACGCACCATCCGCACAAGGCAACGACACACCGTCCCTTCACAGCCAGCCTTGCCACCCTGCAGGCGTGTGCCAAACTGGCCTTGTGGAATCAGCCTCAGAGGCTGAAGCCCCGACTTTCGGACACTTTCGGACTTGAGATTTCTGTTTCGTGCCTTTCGTGCCTTCCCCATACTCGGTGTCCCACAAGTTGATATTGTTGGACCCAACAAAATCCTGTGCCATGCCCACGATGGTCTCCGACTGGGCAAACGTTGCAAGCATCCATCCATAAAGGAAGGCAAACAGTGGCTATAAGGCTAGAAGGCTATACACGTTCACAGGCTGTGGAGCAACATGGGTGTCGGGCCAAAGACATCTCACCATGATGGTATGCCGCGTGCTCCGACACATAGCCCACAAGCTGAGCCACCTGAGCATTTTCCCGTGACAAAGGTGCCATGTGTCATCGACTGTCGTCTGGGGCGCCTTGACATCCTGGCGCAAACGGCGCTTGAAGCAGCCAAAAAGTACCTGGCAGAAGGCAACGGACACGGGGTTGGGCTCACTGCTTGGGAAAGCAGGCAAGTTGACCCGAAAGCTTTTTCTCAACAGCTCTGTACACTCCGGGTCTCTCAGTCCACAGTGTTCCGCCATGGGATGTCCGGAACACTGCAGTGGACAAGGATGGGACATCTCGGAAGCGGGGATGCTGCGCTGCCGCGTTGCTGCGCGTGCGTGCGCTCTTTGCAACCCCCTTTTTTGAAGAGGTAGTGTTCTCATATGTCCTCAATGCGCATGCATCAAGCCTCACCCGCCGGAAGGCGTAACCTGTACATCCAGCCACAAGCTGGTTCAGACCTGCAAGCCGTTTGCAGAAAACTTGCCAAAGATATGGCTCCATGCGAGACGAACAGACCCGCTACTTCTGCTGGACGAGGCTGCGCCAGGTCGTTTCGCCTCAGTTGCAGTACCCGTGCCACCGAATGCAAGCTCTCATAGTGCATGCCGGAAACGTTTCTTTGCAAGCGTGACTGTGATTCGGCGTTTGCCAGCCTGGCAATGGCAGGAAACGATTCCCCTGCATGATGAGTGGATGCGGACATCGCCAGATTCTGCCACAAAAGAATCTTGAAAAATGTGAGATTGTGCTGTTACCCCCCCCCCCCCCAACGTATTTGAGACACCAGACCACACAAGCATTTGAGACAAGAAGAAAGTTTAGAGTCACATCGAGCTGTTGGGGTCGGAAGAACCATGAAGCACCTGAGCAACGCTTACATGAATGGCACCGAATCTGATTCTTCGGCCCTGCACACCTCCCAGAAACCAAGACACGAAGCAACACCAGCTTTTTGTTCCTGCTTTCAATTCCCAACATCAGTTTCTTACCCTAAGTTTGGCGCCAAAGATCCATGCATGCATGCAGCTGCCTCTACTCGGACCTTGCACTCTTCGGGCTTGATGTCTTGGCTCAACTTGTCGACCTTAAGCCTCCTGGCAGAGCATTGAGCAGAAATGCGCTGAAGACAGCCTGCTTAGCCTGCTTGGGGTTTGTTCCCAGCACCTCCGCTGCTGGCAGGCAATGTCCAGCACGAAAGATCGCGTGTCGAATGTCGCTTCTGCCTCAGGCATATCTTGTGCCTTCAGCCTCAAATTTGCCCCTGGCCGGAATCTGGCTGCAAGGTCTGCGAATGAAATGTCACGCCAGCTACAGACTCATACTCTCTATCTCTCTCGCTCACGCTCGTGTCAAAGTGATTTGAGTCAAGACAAGCACAGATCATATAATTCACACAAAGCCTTATGCTTGCGGGCTTCACATTCCCCACGTCAAGTACTGGTATCAGTTGTTTGAGTGAGACCATCTTTGGTTTCGCAGACCCTCACCAAAACAACACGTAAAACATATATAATGTCGCTGTCACTATGTCACTACGTGGCAAGAGATTCCCACCAACAATTGACAATGCTGCACATCCACAATGGCAGTGTAGTTCGACACTGTCGTGAATGCACGTGCTCTAGCACTATGCTTCCAATATGCCCTGAATGCAACCGTGAAGGATGCCCAGTTGCCCGGATCGTCAGGGAGTAGTAGGTAGGACACATAACGACAGAATACGGCAGCGTTCAAAGCAAGGCCATTCAGTGGAAGAAAACCTCGCGGAAGCGAGAGCTCACCATGGATCGATTTGCTTAAGCCGCTGTCCATCCCCATTCAGTTTAAACTCAGCAGAAAAAACATATTCTTTGACATTTCTGAACAGTTGCGTAAAGCATGACCTCGACAGCATTCACGTGAGGGCTCGCAACAGGCATTGACTAAAAGGATTGCGCATATCAGAAGCGGAGCACGGCCCTCCTTCACTTGCGTGGGCACATTTTGTCAAACTTCTACGACACTTCTTGAAGAACGGCCATTGTGAGCGCCTTTGCATGCCTCCACTGCAGTTACCCCTCCGCATTGGTAGCGGAGCACGATCGCTGCAAGGATCCTCCAGAACATCGACACGGAACCTGTGGAGGAAGAGGATGTTGCTGAGCTTAGAAGTTGCTGCATGGGAGGAGGAAACCAAAGAAACCTCAAAGCACATCAGACAAGAAGGACGCGGGAATCTTATAAACCGGGCTCAGCAGGAAGCAAGTGTTCCGTTGATGCTGAGGAGCCTGAGGAAGAGTAATTCCTGGCCATCTCCCATGAGCCTTCAAATCGATCCGCTGCCACATGCTTCGCGCATTTGCTGAGACATTTTCTTTCCTCATCTTGCAACATAGGGATGTGTTGGGGACCTATATGTAAATTGGTGTCAGCTACGGTGAGATGAGAGAGAGAGAGACAGAGCGAGCGGATGCCTTCATGCTCCCGTTCAATCACCAAGCGTACTTTATCCCGGTCTTCCTGGATGAAAACTACAAACTCCCGAGGATCCCAATGAAAGAGGAGTACTTTGCGTGGGCACCAGCGAGAAAAATGGGCAACGATTTCGTGAATTGAGACTACAAAGCGGCTTCATCTGGAAGATGCGCTTGCGGGCATGCCGGCATGCACCACTAGCAACGTGAACGAGTTCTTGGCTGCGACGATCGACGTCAATTCTCAAGGATACCGCAACGTTCGCCCAGCTGAAGGAGAACACAATCGCAGAGCCGGTTCGTCCAGGTTTCCCAGCTTACTCTCCAATGCTTTCGGAATCGATCGCTACAAGTACGTGCCCTGATCTCACAGCCTCAACGGTCACAGGGATCGGCGGGGTCCTGGCCGCGAGACGCAGAACTGTCGTCACTTTTGGAAGTGGCTCCGTTTCCTCGTTGGGAGGCAGGAGAGGGGGAGAGAGGAGAGAGGAGAGAAGAGAGAGGAGAGGAGAGAGGCTGATGAGGGAGGGGAGAAGGGAGAGGAGATAGGAGAGAAGGAGAGAAGAGAGGAGAGAGAAGGGAAGAGAGAGAGGAGAGGAGAGAAGAGAGAGGAGGGAAGAGAGAAGACAGGAAGGAGAGGAGAGAGGAGGGGAGGGGAGAGAAGACAGAGAGGAGAGGAG